ATTGGTCCAACCTATCACTCTGAAGCTAATAGTCTTACTATTAGGAAACACAAATCCAGTGTTCAATAGTCTACTATTTGGAACTTTATAACATGGCCAGTAGTCATATCACTAGGAATCACTAATTTCTCAACATGTGATACGGTTCGGATCAGTTCCAATCTGGAACCGTGTGGTTCAATCCGGAACCAATCCGTGGACTATGGATTTTTAATTTTTCAATTCGGAATCGAATCATAGGATTCAAAAAATCAATCCAAATCTACCGGATTGGACTGGACTGGATCAAATTACGAATTTTACGGATTCCTTGCTCAACCTAAAAGGACTTAAGGAAATGGGAAAAAATTGGGGATTTTGAGTAAACTATGTCTAAGAAAGAAAAAACAAGGTTTCAACCAAAATGGTGTAGTATTAACAAATAAATTCTTAGTGACCAAAATAATTAGGTCACCATAGATGTAGCCCACGTTTTTTGTGACTAAATAATTGTTGTCGCCAAAAAGTTACTTTTGGTGACTAAAATTTTAGTCACCAAAAGGTAAAAAAATAATTTTTTATTTTTCATTCGGCGACTAAATGGTTTAGTTGCCAAAACTCAATATACGGCGACTAAAATTTTTTTTGGTCGCTAATTCTAGCATTTTTAGCAGCTAAAATTATTTTTAGTCGCCAAAAAACAATATACCCCCAACTAAAAACAAATAGTAGCTAAATATTTTACTTTTGGCGACTAAAAAAATTAGTTGGTCGCCAATCCCACAACTTTTAGCGACTAAATTTTTTTTAGTTGCCAATTTTAGTCGCCGAATGTGCATTTTGTTGTAGCGACGGTTAGATGAGTTTACCTTGTCAACAATGTGAACTGTTGAAATGTGATAAAAATATAAAAAATGTGAATTTGTTGAAAGATCTCAATTCAACCAGTTGATTAATATGGTTCATAAATAAATTTGTTGGTTAAACCAAAAGGGTTGGTTTATAAGCAAGGTTTTGGAGTCTTTTGAACTGTATATTCACAAATGATTAATTTTATGAAAAAAAAAAATTTATTAAATCTATGTACATACGTGTACAACTTTCCAGGCATATTAATTATCAAAATATGTAAACTTGTTCAAAATCTATATATATATATATATATAAATAAACCTTTTAAAGCAGCCAATCTCAGTCCTAACAAACATATATATTTTTCAGAAAAAATTTATCGGGCTGATTAGTAGGACAAACATCCCATTAACTAAGGTAGATATGTTCTGAAATATTTTATACCAATTCCAAGTTCTCAGCCAAACCAATGCGAATCTTGCTTCCCTAGGGGATTTGGAATTTACAGTAATAAATTAGTTACCCGACAGGCCAAAGTGATAAGATTTGACACTCTCGTTGTGCAGGCCAAAGCTTCTCTTATGCTTAGGTTGACACACTAATGAAGAATCATAGAACTAACTTCTCGTTACATTGGAGATTAGGCACGATGTGTTTGAAATTGCGATCACTTAAACCTAGCCATGATGATAATCCAATTTCTCTATTTCTGGCTCATTTATTTAAGCCTTATTGAGAAGATTTTAAAGAAGTTTATCTGTACTCTTATGGTTCTTAGTAACTTTTGTGTCGTGTAAAATACATCTCAGGTCTGTAGTTGACCTATGTTGGTCCTAAGTTGAGTACCTCTCATCACGGGAGTATCAATGTGTTCATTTTTGTTTTTAAAATTAAGTTGATTTTGATATGCATGAATTAATTGAAGAAAAATAGATCTATACAGTTGACCCCAAAGTAATTGAGACAGAGTTGTTGATGAGTTGATATTGATGTTGCTATGTTCTGCCAAGGAGGGAAAGATTAAATTTGTATTAGGATACAACTAATTTTGTATTACAACTGGCCACTGTCCCCTAAACAGTCATTAATTAAAGGTTTAAGCATTATGATATCACCTTTATGAACTTTTAATCAAAAGATAAGTTCGCTTGTGGATGTACCGAGTAAATGTCTGGTTTAGAGCATAGAGATACCATCTAAAAACATATATTAGAGGAGAAAAGAACATGGTATAACTTCACTAGTTGAAAACAAAGTTATATATTATATAAGTGGGAAATCAAATTCTAAGAAACAATCACTATTCAACCAGCTAAATGTAAAATTAGAATAGTTTTATAGAGGTTTATTTGTTTCTATTTCGTGCAGGTAATATAGCAATGTAAGTCATACCCAGTGTTTTTAAAGGCTCAAGGCGCACTAAGGCGCCGAAGGTCTCTTGGAGCCTAGGTGCAAGGCGCAAGGCGATGCGCGGGCTTTATTGAAGTCAGGCGCACAGTATTCGTAAAAAATAGAAAAATTAATATAGACTAATCATTTATAGTAGTAAGACAATTTTTTAAAAAATAAAAAGTAATCAAGATTTAAGACAAAATATAGAATAATTCTCAAAGCCATGAAAGTGCATATTACATAACATTCCAATTTTCAAAGATCAAATAATCCACATTTAATAAAATAAAAACATAAACACTAAACATCCAAAACATAAATATTCAACAAATATTAATATATGTCTTAACACTTAAAAGCATCAATATCAAAAGAAAGGGTAGGTTAGGTCGGTGTCAGTCAATCATCATCCTCAACATCAATGGCAAGCAAACTATCATCTTCTTCTCCATCAGTTGATTTGTATCCCTCAACATCTTCCTCCTCTGTGTCATCTGAGCCCGCTTCCTCTTCATCTATTAATTGAAGTGGAGTCAATGTTGATGATTTAGATATCCTCCGTTGTGACTTTGAGCGTGAATTTGTTGCTCTACTTGCATGGCTACTTTCTTCTACTCCAGAAGCTCTAGCAACAGTGGCCCACGTCAAGCCATCATCATCATCAAACACAGGCTCATTATTTTCATCTGATTCTCCATCCATCCTCCCAAGCAACCACTCATTGCTTTCATCAATATTTTGCAAAGATATGGGATCAAGAGTGTTGCGCATGTCATACCTAAATCTCAATGTTCTATTGTATTTGACATACACTAAATCATTGAGATATTGTTGTTCCAGTCTGTTTCTTTTCTTGCTATGAAGCTGCAAGTATTAAAAAGATATTAAATTCTATATAATGAGAATAAAAAATATTTGAATTAAACAAAAAATTAGTTTGAATGTTAAATACTCACATGTTCGAATACACTCCAATTTCGTTCACAACCCGATGAACTACATGTTAGGCTAAGGACTTTTATGGCAAAAGTTTGCAAGTTTGGAGTATAAGAACCATATGATGCCCACCAATCAGCTACGATAATCCACTAGTTAGAAATAATTGTTACTAAGTATTAAGTTTTACTAAAAGTATTACTAAAAATAAACTCTATGAGTCTATAATATATTACCTGGTGCTCTTGTATTTCTTTACCTAATCGCAACAGCCTTGCCAAAAAGACTCTCAGCCTTCATATAAATACTCATCTCATTAGTGATCAAATCTTGAACAGTGACATCCGAGACCAACCTTTGCATGCATTCATAAAACCCATTCATCACTTCATGATCTCTTTGCACCTCTAACGCTTTTGGGTAAAAGAATTCTGGGTTAAGAAAATGCACAGCTGCATGTAAAGGTCGATGCAATTGAACATCCCATCTTTTGTCAATGATTTCGAAGATTTCATTATACTTCTCTTCTTTATGATCAAATGAACTTGCAATGCATTCTTTTGCCCTATCCATTGCCTCATAAATGTATCCCATGGGAGGTTTCTTCTCGGTATCAACCAATCTAAGCACTTTGACAAGAGGACCCGAGACCTTAAGGGCAAACACAACAGTATTCCAAAATGAAGGCATCAACAAAGTTTGTGCCATTCTTTTACCTTGTGGCTCCTTTGCTCATTTGCTTGAGGTCCAGTCTTCGAAGGTGACCATCTTTCTCAAATTGTTTTTTTGTTGATGCATCCTAGACAAAGTCAAAAAGGCGGTTGCAAATCTAGTTTTTGCAGGCTTGATCAAATTCTTTAAATTTGTATAGCGCCTCATCATGTTTAGCAATGTAGGCCGATTGTAAATGTAGCCATGTACTGCAATACCCCTTTCAAATGTCTTTTTCAGTCTAGGTATCTTGAAAATGTCTTCTAACATCAAGTCCAAACAATGAGCAGCACATGGTGTCCAATACAAGTGTTCATACTTAGCTTCCAAAAACCTCCCTATAATGTAACAATAATGAAGAATTATTATTTTCAAGTTTTTAAATTTTAAATACAAAACAAACTATGAGTAAACAATTTTGATGTAAGGAATGAGGAAATATTCTTACCCGCCAACACATTAGCTGCAGTGCTATCAGTGATAAATTGCACCACATTCTCTTTTCCAACTTTCTCCACAAACTTGTCTAGTAATTCAAATAGCTTTTGCCCATCCTTTGAATAGCTAGAAGCATCAACCGACTCAACAAACATGGTTCCTCTTGGACAATTAACTAAAAAGTTAATCAATATCCTTCCTCTCTTATCAGTCCAACCATCAGCCATTATGGAACACCCGTATTTTTCACAATCCTCTTTATGATACTTCATCAAATCTTCAGTATGTTTCACTTCTTTTTTGAGTTGGGTAACCCGCACTTCATGGTAAGTCGGTGGCTTCATACCAGGACCATATTGGCCAATGGCTTCAATCATTGTTCCAAAACTCTCATAATTTACTGCATTGAAAGGGATACCAACATCATACATCCACCTTGCAAATCTTTGCAGTGCCCGAGCTCTCATTTCTTTTTTGTAAGGGTCATTTGCATCAATTTTTGTTTGTTTCCCTTTTGCTTGGTCTCTTCGATATTTCACCACTGATTCAGGATTGGGTGTGAAGTAAACATCCATAGGCCCTTTTCTCTTTGGCATTTTTGATTTGGATTTGGATTTGGATGAACCTTGGCTACTACTTGTCAACTTGCGGTGTTGATTGACATTGATCTCAACAACATCATCATCTTCATCTTCATCTTACATGTCCATGTCATCAAAATCAGGCAACATGTTCATTTCTTCTTTTTGTGTCTTTTTTTTGGACATGAACTCTCTAATCTCTTCTCTTACATGAGAAGGACACTTCGGGCAAGCAGTAACATTCCTATAACCTCCCGCAAGGTGTTGTTTTACCCGATAAACACCTCCATTTGATACTTTACCACAAAAATTACACTCAAACTTGTTTAAATTATTCTCCTCCACCAAATGGGCATATTGCCACGCCGGATCTTTTCTATTACTTCCAATGTCATTTTCTACTTAGTACTTACTACACAACACAAAAAATAAATAACAGAAAAACAATTTCAGTATAATGAATGCAATGTATGTTATGTGATGAATTAATTAATGTATGTAATGTATGAATCAATTTTCTATTTTTTTTAATTAATGATGAATTAATTAATTAATGTACATTACATTCCATTACATTCATTCCTATGTTACATTATTTTTTCAAGAAAAACTTTGACCAATTTATTAATTCATCACATTAATAAATTGATTAACTTATGAATCAATTTATCAATTAATTAATCAATCAATTTTCTATTTTTTTAATCACAACACAATAAATTGATTAATTGATAAATTGATTCATCTTTATTAATCAATTAATTTTTTATTAAATTCTTATTAATCACATTAATCACAACACATACAACACATTAAATTCTTATTAATCACAACACATTCATCTTTTCTAATTAATTAATCAATTTTCTATTTTTTTAATTAACTTATGAATCAATTTATGAATTAATTAATGTTATGATTCAATGTATGTAATGTAATGAATGTATGAATTAATTAACTTATGAATCAATTTTCCATTTTTTTAATTAATGATCAATTAATTAATTTCAGTATAATGATGAATCAATTTCAATATAATCATAACGAATGTACTGTAATGTATCTATTTTTTTTATTTATGTATGTATGAATTAATTAATTTATTTATGTAATAATCATAATGAATGTAATAATCATTAATGAAAAAAAAATAAAGAAAAAGAAAGTCGAATGAAGAAGAAAAAATTAATAATTGAAAAGAAAAAGAAAAGGAATGGACTGAACTGAAGGAAAAAAATAGACTCAAATAATTGAAAAAAAAAGAAAAGGAAAAAAGAAAAGAAAAGAAAAGAGAGGACTGAACTGAAAGTCGAAGGAAAAAAAAAAGAAAAGGAAAAAAAAAATATGAAAGTCGAACGACCAGTGTCGAAGACGAAGAAGAAGGAGAAGGGGAGAGAGAGTCGAACCTATGAAGCCGAAGTCGATCCAGTGTCGCAGTCGAAGTCCAGCTCTTGTGTCGCAGTCGTAGTCGCAGACCAAGTCCAGCTCCAGCAGCTCGAAGTTGATTGCGAGGCGAAAGAGGGAGAGACGACTTCGATTAGGGTTAATCTGAGTCCTATTTGGCTCATATGGTACATGAGTTCTGATCCTCTGTGATTACGAGCCATTCAAAAGGTTCATCTGAGTCGCATCTGAGTCGTTAGATCAGATCTACAGATTAAACACTCAGTCGCGCCTAGGCGAGGGCCTTGCGCCTCTCTCGCCTTGCTAAAGTCGCGGCTAAGGTGCTCGCCTGGCTCAAGCCGCCTCGCCTGGTACCTGTACAGGCGCAGATGGTGCGCCTCGACTCGCCTTGCGCCTAGGCGCGACTTTGACAACACTGGTCATACCCAGTGCACAACACTACTCACTTCAATGAGTTGACCCCACAATTATAAACAAAACCTCTACCTAATTTAAGTGACTGGTATCGACAAAGAATATATAATTGTGAGAGCCGAATCGAGCTAAGAAACTCCATGAACTTGACTAATGGAACTGCACATGTTCTAAAAACAATTTCAATTAAGAACATGAACTTAGTTTGCTTTCAGAGATATAACAAGTTAACAAACACTAAACAAATAGAGGATGCCTACGAAACTATGATAAGTGAGTACAACAACTCTACAGCGTCAGCCTACAACACAGGATTCTGATAAAGTGCTTCAATATGCCCTTTCTTTGTGAGGTTCGGACCGGTAAATCAATATATGAGATCCTAGTTAATGTTTTCTTCATCCTCAAAGCTCAAGTTCAATGTTTGTTGTTTGAAGCCCAAACCTTGTATGATCTCAACCAAATTGGAGGCCACCCCTGTAGCTTGTACTGTCGTCTCTTTTGTTAGTTGGGAAAGCATACAGATGGACAAAGCATACCATCAATTTGAGAAAATATTCGAAATTTTAAGAACAGAAGCACATCTTAATTGTATAAGTAATGCACTTGTAGATAGATTTCAGCTAACAAAAAGTTGACACACGGTGGTAAATGTGAGGCAAACATTGCGGCTAGAATCCATGAACGATTTAGGACTGCAACCTCATTAGATAGTTTATGTTTAAAGCCATTGCAACTTAAGGACTAGGAACATTTTGTTTACATTTTTGGGTGCAAGTTCAACTTAAAGTGATTACCTAGGGAGAAGTAACACTCCATTTATGAGGTGTAAGATGCAACAAGTTGTTTATACCCACCTCAACACTTGCAATACCCTCAACATCTTGAACTTTTAAATTGGCAATGCCTCCTGTTTCCTACAAAAATTTAAAAAAATGAAAGGAAATTGAAAAGGTTAGAATTTAGAAAGGCAAAACTCCAGGCATGATGAAACCTTCACTTTATCATGAAGAAAAAAACCATTGTCAATAATCAATATAGAATATTCTTGCATCCCATTAGTCAAATCCAAATATCGAGGGCAACATTCACAAGTTTAATCCATGAATAGAAACAAATTCATTTGTAGAACAATTCAATGAGGATAGATGGATCTATTTCTAAAGCATTGGTCACTGTAGGAATAGCTGCTTTAAATTGGAATTTTCTCCTTCAGATGCTAGTAAACTTTGGTTTTGGAGCAAAATGGTTGGGGTGGATCAAGGAATGCATTGCCTTATCTAGAGTTTCTGTACTTGTGAATGGGTTTCCATCTGATGAGTTTTGTCCGAAGAGAGGATTAAGGCAAGGTGATCCACTCTCACCCCTCTTGTTTAATGTTGCAGCTGAAGGGCTTAATATCATGTTGAAAAGAGCAAAAGATATGGGAGTTATTAAAGGAGTGGATGTGGGTCATAGAGGTTTTAATGTATCCCACCTCTAATATGCAGATGATACCATAATCCTATGTGATGCGGAATGGTCTGAAGTTGTTACTATTAAAAGAATTTTAAAGTGCTTTGAAGTTGTGTCTGGGCTGAAAATAAATTTTCACAAAAGTTTGGTATGTGGGGTGGGTGTGGAGGAGGATTTGTGTCACGACCCAAACCCGCCCCTATGGGTTTAGCACCGTAACCGGCCAGTAATCTGAGATTACCGAAGGCCTACTTAACAGTAAAACAGTAATACAGAGTACAGGGGCTGGCGGAAGCCAAAACAGTAATTAAAAGATGTCCAATGAGCTGTGACAGTCTGTATGCAAAAGACTTTTCATAGCATATGCACATTCAGAACAAAAACAGTATATACATACATCATTTACAGGCATTCAGGTTAGGGACCAAATCCCCACCATAACAGTACAGTATAAATATCATTCAGTCTATACATAACAGAGACAGATAGGGTGAATCTGAGACACCCCAAAAGCAGCCTTAGCTTGAACAGATCTGGAACCTCGAAGTGAAGCACAAAGGTTGGCTTAACAAAGCAAGGGCTTAGCCTGACACTCCTAGCAACGGTCCGGTGCCTGAACACCTACATATATATAAGAGCAGTGAGCTAAAGCCCAGTGAATAACATATGCGTAAAGAGGTTATGAATGAATGTCCTTTCAGTATTAAAAACAGTCATTTATCAGTATATCAGTCATTCAGTTTGTGGCTCATATCTCATGCTATAACAGTCATTCAAAAACTATAATAGTCATATGTGGTACATCCAATAGCAAAACAGTACAGTAGGTCTTAACAGACCGAACAGTCAGTTGATGGCCATCATATCAGTAAACAGTAGTGGTTCCAAACATGGGAACCGACAGGGATCTCTATGACAGTAACAGTACAGTACAGTAACAGTAACAGTAAATTGCTATGGATGCCACGAATACAGTTCACAAATAGGACAAACATTCATTCAGTAAGAAATATCATTTCAGAAAGCAGTACAGTTGTTCATTCAGAAAATATTCATGATTGAACATATCTTTACAACATTGTTACTCATAGAGCACTGGGCTATAAGTAGCTAGAGCGTCCTCGGATGCTAACCCTACACAGTTACAGAACGAACACACACTAAGCTACACAGTTGGGAAATAATAACTTAATCCCTAATTTGCCTCGGTGTGGTTCTACATCAATATCCTCATTAAGATGCCTTAAACTAGGCCTAAGAATACCTAGGATGGAATGAGGATGCAAAGATGCATGTATAAACACTTTTCAAAAAACAGGGGTCTCACTCGAGCGTGGCTTTCTACGCTCGAGCGGACATGCAGACAAAGGAGCTCCGCTCGAGCATGACTTTCCTTGCTCGAGCGGACTGCAAAAGTACTGGATGAACGAAATTCACGCTCGACGGGCGCTCGACCTTCACTCAAGCGTGAGACACAAGTCCTCGCTCAAGCGTGCATTCCCTCGCTCGAGCTGACTGTAAACACATGCAAAGTACTGGTTACACGCATTTCACGCTCGAGCGTCACTTTCCTCGCTCGAGCGGACTATATGAACACAAAGTGTACGCTCGAGCGTGGAGTTCTTTGCTCGAGCGTGAGTCCAAATTCTGGAAATTCCAGATTGAACCTTCAAGCTCAAAATCAACTTTAAATGTACCAAATTCGATCCTTTTGGGCTAATTTTCTGGAAAACACTTGTAAACTCATAATATGACATGTTTCAAAGATCAATTAGAGAAATCAAAGCCCAAATGTAGTTCCATTTGAACACAATTTCAATAAACTCCAAGAACAAGACTCAAATGTAGCATGCATGAGCTTATATGAACTTAAAGCTTCAAACACAAGATCAAATGAGCCAATCCTTCCAAAAACATGGTGAATTCATGGATTATAACAATAATATGGACATGCATGCAATAATTTCCATGAAAACAACTCTAAACTTCAAGATATGCACATGCATGCATGATTTAAGCCTCAATTCAACTCATTAAGCCAATTCTAGACTCAACTCACTAAACTTCCATGAATCATG